CTGTGGTGTGTGGGCTCCAGCAACCTTGAATGGGCTTCATCTCCCCTGGCAGCTTAGGTGCAGGTTCTTTCTGTCCCCTGCAGCACAGCCTAGCTTGTCATCTGCCAGAGGTGCTCTGTGCAGCCATGGAGCATCTGCGATGGAGCTGAGTAAGAGCAGAACCAGTCTGGGAAGGGTTGCCACAAACCCCACTTGGAAAAATCATATTAAGACTAAACAAGGTGCTGTTGCCATCTGCTGGCTTGTTGTAATTGCATTCCTATTTGGCAGCTTAATTTCTGGCAAAACTTGCCAGAAATCCTTGCAAGATCTCCTTGCAAAATTTTGGGTCTCCCAGCTCTGTAAAGGAGCCTATAACACCCTGAGGGGTGTCCGGATGTGCTGTCAAGAGGCAATGGACTTGGTATCGGGGGCTGGTTGAGTGCTGCTCTTACTGTTGCTGCTGTGTGGCAGCGCTCTGCAGAGCCTCCTCGCTGCCCTGGCGCTGGGGACGGGCTCTCTGAGCTTGGAGCAGCTTTGGTATAAACAGATGGACCTGCCTTGCATAGCTGCTGCCTGCCTGGGCCTGACCTGCGGGTGTTCATGGTGGTTACCAGCACTGCCAGGTGACAGGCGTCACCCTCATAAGGTGGGTGGTGCCTTGTTCTGGTGGGATCCCGGGTGTTTGTAGCAGCTTCCTTCCAAGCTGCTTGTGGATAAGCACAGCTATAAAGGGGACAACCCGTGGCCCAATCAGGGCCCCCAGCACGATGGTCTTCCTATTCAGTAGCATCTGCCAGGGCATGAGGGGCTGAATCAGTAAGGAGTTCACTGTGGAGCTGGTGCAGATGCAGCAGCATGGGGGAGAAAAGGCTGCTGCAGGGCTGGCAGTCTGCCTGCCCCATGGCAGAGATGCCTCTGCTCTGGCACAGGTAAGTGGTGGCTGCCCCTCTCAGCTCTGGGAGCATCCTATCTTTAATCCCACTCCACACCAAATTTCCCCAGCACTGGAGCAGCACTGTGCTCACAGCTCCCTTCCTCGCTTTGGTTCTGCCTCTCAGCCCCGTTTTACACTGCCCTGAGGCACCAAGAGCACAGGGAAGTTCTTCCCTTTCTCTGGGTATCTGGGCCCTCTGACAGTGAGGGCTGAGACCTGTCCCCAACCCCCCCATCAATCATAGCCAGGAGAGCACAAGTAGATTCTATTCAAAAGCACTTTTATTGGATACAAAACAAGCACATTCCAGTATAGTGATGAAAAAGGCAATGCTGACGGATCTCATCTGGGCTAAAACCCAAGACTTGCTGCCATCTCTTCTGGTCCTGGCATGGGGCATTGGTTCCCTTCCCATTACGCCTTGGCTCCTCCAACGGCACCCTCCTCCACGGCTGGTCCGGGCTGCGGTGCTGCAGGGCTGACCTCAATGGGCACTTTCCTTTCCGGGGCGGCCGGCAGCGCCCGCCTGGGGGCCTCGATGCGCAGCTGGCCCTCGCTGGACAGGGAGCAGGTCAGCGCCTCAGTGTCCACATCCTTGGGGACGTCCCACTCCCGCTTCAGCACCTCGTACTTGTAGGAGAAGGAGCCCTTCTCGTCCGTGCTCTGCGTCTCCTTCTGCCCCACCAGCATCACCTTCCTGCCCACCACCTTCACCGACAGCTGCTCGGGGGCGAAGTCCTTGACGTCCTGGCACACGGAGAAGCCCTCGCCGGAGCCCGGGGTGACAGCAGCACTGGAGCTCTGGGCCACGGCAGCACTGGAGCCCTGGGCATGGTCCGCAGCGAAGCTTCCTTGGCTGGTCAGGAGCTGCTCGAAGCTGCTCATGAACTCCCGAGCCCTCTCCATCTCCTGCTGCAGTTCGGTGAAGATTGCTGCTGGATTCGGCCAGAGGGTCCTCGCTGTGCCCAGACGGGTGGCCAGGGAGCTGGAGGCAAATGGCAAAAGATGCATTCGGCAAAGCATCTCTGCTTCTTCGGTATCTGCTGCTGGCTCTGAGGCTGCTTCCTCTCCAGTGAGCTGGGAGCTTTCTGCCTCAGCACCGAGAGCCTGCAGTTTTTATACCCTTTCCTGTGGAGGTGTGGCCTCGCCTCTCACGCCCACGTCATCCCGGACAGAAGAGAAGAGCTCATTCCAGCCCGTTCCAGCTCATTCTTCTTACTCATCAACTAGGAGAGGCACCTCTTACATCGTGTCCAACATACCTTCACCCTTAGTCTTGCAGCTCTGCTCTCCTGGCTTATAATTAGCAGCATCACCTCAGCCTCCAAATGGGACGCCTGAGCCACCCCTGCCAGAAATCTGCGTCCTTTCCCAGGCAGACAACGGGGCTGGGCTCTTCCCATTCCCCCCCATGCGCCTTCCCCTCTCCCCATCTGTGCCTAATTCCCCCTCCTCTGCCTCGGGGGGGGGGCGCTGGGGACCTCCACGCCCCCCTTTTCAGGTTGTGCCCGCAGCGCGCCGCAGCCCACCCTCCGCACCACCGGGGTCTTCCCACACGCAGCTGTGCCTGAAGTGGGGGAAGCCCCGCG